AGGAATTGCATTTAAGCCCGTCCCTACACCTAATGATTTATACAAACGCCACTGCTAAAAACACAAAAAGTTTTAAAAAAAGCATTCTATTAGCCAAAAAGGGATATAAATGACTTGATAAGTGATTGAATGGTACAGAGGAATTTATGAATAAATGTGCATTTTTCCACTAGCAATTCCATATCGGTTTGATAAATTACAGTAAACGAGACATGGGATAATGTAGATTTTGCTGCTGCTTTTATCGGTGACAATGCTTATAAAGAATTTGAAGCACCACCATGCGAGTATGATGGTTTGAGTACAGACCTTTATAGAGTGAGAACATTCTCCTGCCAACCCTTCGCCTTTACAAGGATCATGTTTGTTATAATCAGAGATTTATCGGAGAATTTAAAAGAGTTTTGTGAGTTCAAAACAACCATAAGAGCTGAAACTGAAGGTGAGCCGTCTATCATAACAACTAACTAATAATATCATCAACTATGATTACTCGAATCCTTGTTCACTAACCAAATGTAGAACTACCAGAAAATACATTTTGAGAAGTGTGGATTTTTCAAAAGGACAAATCCAGTCTTTACCGCAGGTAGCTCAAAAGGGAATCAATTTCATAGTAATATATGAAAGGTGTAGCATTGTGCGACTGTCAGAACTCCTTATTTCAGCTTTAGAATGTATCCGAGGAGAATATGTTAATGAATATAAAGGAAAGATGAACTATACATGGGATGGTAAAACCTGTGATAACTGGGCCGATGCTCCACTAGATAAAGCTATTAATACTACCGTCCATAAAATATTCGATCCCGACTCCCAGTTGAACTACTGTCGCAATATTGGTGGAGAAAAGAAAAGACCGTGGTGTTGGGTTGATAATTTCCAATCAGTTGGATATTGCCCTCTTGCTTTTTGTAGTAAGAACCAGTTTTTGTTTATTTCTTATTACATGTATCTGATACTAGTGAAAATAGGCTTAACTGAACTGTCATCTAGGGCTTTCCAGTTATGTTGAGTAGGTGTGAATTCCATATCGACTATTGAGAGCCCAGAAATTTTGTGTTAGATGAAATCATTGGGTGAGCAACATAACTTACTACGCCGCATATTTAGTGAGCGTAGTTTGTCCCTAACTGGATTCCTAAAAGTCGCCGATTATATCGGACTCTGGTCATTATGCAGTGTCAGAACACATTCTTACTGATGCTAGCATGCCAACATCCAGCCTACCTTAAGGACCATAGAGATTCTCTGATTGCAATATTGATTTCTTTCTTTCCACTCGACTTAAAACTCCATTCTATTCCAGATGAGATTTGTCATTTAAAAGAAGAATATAGCGAATACCAAGGGAAACAATCCTTCTCAACTTCCGGTAAACATTGTCGAGAATGGAGTGATGGAAATGAGGAGGGTCGTAAATTCTTAGCAGACACTTTCTCTGGTGGGGTACAAGCTGGACCTTACTGTAGAAATCCAGGATATTCTCAATTCAGGGCCTGGTGTTATGTTGATGGTCAGGGATCGACGATTATAGCTGAACCCTGTGATGTTCCACATTGTCGTAAGTACTGCTTTTCAACTGATGTAAATTTGTTTGTATTTAAGTCATCATTAATGATAATTCCTTTATTTTCTCTTTATTTGGAAGCTACATTCCCTAAATCTAGTAGCAAGGGTTAAGTCATATTCAGTCTGTTTTTCCTACATTTTTGGTGCTATCGTCAACACGTTAAAAACTATTGCATATACATTCCGTGATGAAACTTAGCAAATTAACAATGTATTTGAAATCGCGATAAGAAAAAAAAATAAGGCCACGTGATTTCCAATTCGGCCAATCAACACCATGTAGCAATTTGGACGTTTTGTTTTGAAAATATAAACACGCGTATGGAATCCATTAGTGTAGTCATCCCCTTTCGTGTAAATAAGGTCTATGGTTAAAATTTACCGTTTTGGTATATTTCAGCAACTGATTTTCTGAAAATGACCGTCAGAAATAATGAAACCAACAAATTACCTTTATATCTTCACCAATGTTACCATTCAATCGACTCATTCAATGTTCAACACTATTTTGATTTGACCATACAAGAATCGACCATTATCAACTTATGCAGGAATTTTGAAGATAAACTATTATTTTGTTTTACTGGTGGAGATTGGACACGGGTAGAGTTTGAATGTTGTAAGTTTGTGTGTTCTTTTTTAGCCATACTGTGAAGCTTTGAAACAAGATCGGCCATTCTATGACTAGGAGGCGCTAAATAGTGGTTATTTGTTGCCGTGTTCCCAAAGTTGAACATCTATTCATGAAGCCAGGTTATCACGAGTAAGAGTGTAAACATTTATATATTTCAGTTGACGTGTCATCAGAAACCACAATCATAACTGAAGCATCTTCTCCTAGCTCAAAAACAACATTTCTGATAGAAGAGACTTTTGTGGAAGACTCACTCTCAATGGAAATCTCCTCTCTATATGAGGTTTCAATGACTGTTTCAGAATGTTCTCCAGGAGAAGCCAGTTCCTCGGTCATAGTAGAGGACCTCCACCCCACGTCTTACACAGTACAAAATACCCCTTCACTGAATCCGTCATTCTCCTTACATTCAGGTGATACTATATCTATAACATCAGATTTATCCACAAGTGTCGCGGATACTCTCTCGAACACGCCTGTAACATTCTCTACGAGCATGAAAGTGACACAAACTATGGATGCTGCTAGCTCATCATATAAAAGCATGGGCAACACCTCGAGCAGTAATATTACATGTGGTTGCTTCTGTATCAATGTTGATCTACTAAACTCTAGCGAGCCTGTGGTTAAAGCCAGGGTCCAGTCTTTAACACGAGAATTGGAAATGGACTATAAAAAGCTATCAGCGACTGTCAGGAAACGCATGAGTGCGGAGGACGACAGACCGTCTGTGACTTACGTAGGGTCGTCAGCTATGACCATAAATGATATTTT